AATTCAAAAGCCATGTTGTAAGCTGATAGGTTCGTGCTATGCACTCACTGTATCCTTCTACATATGACATGCACACTTCTATGTATGGTCCAAAAGAAAACAAATCTTGCACTAATCACATGCAGATGGTTTGCTTTCTGCAAGGTTAGGAACTGTCGACCTTTAAAAGCCACTAGTCCTTTTCCTTCAGATAAAAGTAACTGTTTATGGCAGTGTGCTGCCCTTGCCTTTCAGAGCCTCTGCTGTTTGCTTTCACAGTGGACTGCTTTTATAGATCTATGGCCTTAGCTGCCACAATAATTCACACAATAATTCACACAAAATCCCCTAGGTGCTCACTTACAATATCCTTCACATGAGGGTGCTGGATCAGTTTGTGAATATTGCTTAATCAATGCGAAATAAAATGCCAGCCTCTATCAAGCTTCTGCTTCACCTAATAAAGATTTACTGTTCTTCACCTGAACATCCTAATTAATAATAATTAAAAAACAAAGTAAGAGTAGGTCTGATTTATCTAGATATCTTTTTTTCTTTCTCACTGAAAAACCAACAGGGGAAATCCTGAAGTTCCAGTTCTCATTACATTTTTCTTTAATTGAAACTGACTGCTGAGCTGCTGTTTACAGCTGCTGCTCTGCTATTATTAAATCTAGAGAGAGCCCTAACATCCGGCAGAGCTCCTATATCTAGTGCTATAAGCTTGCAAGTTATTGGAATCAATAGCTGGGGCAATGATGCTCTTAATATCCTTGTGCCTTCTGGGCACCAGAAAGCATTGATTGTTAATATTTGTTGCCTTTTCTAATCTGGTAAAAAATTGTGCTGTCAACTCCTGGCTTCTACTCCACTTCCTTTCTGCAACCCTAGAAAAGGATGGAAATCTCACAGTAAAAAATGATTGGCTATTTATGTGTGTATGGCTGTGGTGCTGTCTCTTTGAAGAAGATCTTTCAGCTGTGTAGATATCACATTACCAAAATGTCTAGCATGCCTCTGCCTGCCTTAGGAGCCAATAATGTATGCCTATTCTGATTTGCAGTGTATGATTTTCAGATATGGGACACATCTTGACTGATTTCAGTGGAAGAGAAAGGGGCAAAAACATTTGCAGCAAGAGTCGTATTTCACATTGCATTTTTTTACATAATAATAATAATGATAATAATAATAATAATTTATACCCCACCCATCTGGCTGGGTTTCCCCAGCCACTCTTGGCAGCTTCCAACAGAATATTAAAATACAATAGTCTATTAAACATTAAAAGCTTCCCTAAACAGGGCTGCCTTCAGATGTCTTCTAAAAGTCTAGTAGTTTGATCAGATGGACTTTATTAACATAGGAACTGAGTGAGATATTGATGGATACCCTTACCCAGTAAAAACTACAGAAGTGGTCCTTCTCTGGGTGTCATAGGCCTGTGGAAATTTATATAATAGGGCCTCCCTCCTCAGTTTTTAATAACCTTCCCAGGGAAGTCTGCCAGTACTTGTGATTTAACTGAGTGATTAAAGGCACAATCCTATACTTTATCGAAGCAGCTTAGCAATACAGACTCTGAGGCATGGAAGATCCAGGTACAATCCAGGAGCTCTTGCCAGCTGAAAGGCTAGTAGGAATGAGTTTGGTTTGGGTGAAAGGGGCAGAGTTCACAAATAACAAGAACTCCAAGGCTGCATGGAAGCAGTGGCAGTGCTCCAACAAGTTCTCCTACCTACCTACCAAGCTTTTAAGCAGGGATGGAGAAAGCTTAGTCACGGAAATCCCTTTCCTTGGCCTGATAATGGGCACTGCTCCCGAGAGGTGAGGCACACGTCTCATTCCTTCTTTTGCTGTGCTATCTCTCCCTGGGAAATGTTAATGGGCATGCCTCCTCGTCTGTACTCTCCTGCTCTGGTCCAGCAAGGTGGGCTCCTGAGACCCACTCATCCTCCACAGACTGTGAAGGGGCAGCTCCTGGGTCTCCCACCTCCTCAGGTCCAGGCACATCCAAAGTCCCAGAAGGTACTTCACCAAGTGGGCTCTGTCGCTTAATGTCACCCCCCTCCTCCCACTCAAGAGTCCTTGTTCTCAGGTGTCTCTCACTCCTGGTCAGAAGAAGAGAGCTCAGAGGCAACCATGAGACACGTCTCCCATCACATCCCCTCCGGGCTATACTGTTGAGCTGTCATATGTCATTTATTTAGTTTTGCAGATATTTGGATAAAGATACCCTTTATATGGGCTCTGACATTTTAATGTAGGAAAAGTAATTAATCAGAAAACATACAATTTGTGAAATACTTCTTGAACATATTTTCTACTTTTTAAGTTAAGTATTTGGCTTCTGTTATGAACACAGAGAAGCCTGCAAATTAGGGATGGGGAAGACATTGAGGTCATTCTGCATTTTAATGCAAAACTATCTAATTCACACTTCTGAAAACAACATGTGAACAAAAATGCAGATATACTTCAAATTTCCAAATTTTGCAATGCAGGTCTCCAACCCAAAAATGCGTACAAAAATGTGCCTATTGAGGGAGAATGTGCATAAAAATGCATAGCAAAAATAAAACACAAAATGCTTCAGAATAAGGGGAAATGCTTGCAAAAATTAGTATATATTAGGCGGTTGCATTACAAATTTTCATATTTGGCGAAATGACCATTAAAGCACTAGAATAATAATAATCCATGGTTTTTTAAAAAAAAATAATGCAAGCAGTTCAGAAGGATTGGACCGGCTTTCCTTTGTCCCCATTAATTCTCCAGTTCTGACTGCAGCACCTTTCACAGCATTTGACAGTCCTTGACAATATATGCAGTATTCTGCGAATAGCCCTGTATCGCCAGGCATTTGGATGTGACAGCTGCCACCAGAATGGATGTTGCCTCAGGTCCTCTTAGCGCATAACCTTTAGTCACATGTGCGGGTTCAATGCCTCTTCCACTCTAAAGTTAAGAAGTCATAAAAGTAATCCAGATTCTGCCACAAGGCAGAGGAGCCAGAAATGTGTAAAAAGTGTATCTGCACCATAATGGATGGATGGAGTGAACATGTCTTTTATTTCCCTCTTGCAGAATGCAATCAATCAATCAATCAAGCTTTTATTCATACACCTCAGACAAGATGCTCTTAATGGGGGCCCCTCCTTGTGGATGGTTAATTCCAGTCAAAGATGACTATGGGGTGTGGCTTCAGGCGTTTGTCCACAGACAACTTTCCTGGCTATGTGGCCAGCATGACTAAACCACTTCTGGCAACGGGACACCATGATGAGTGCCAGAGTGGATGGAAACACTGTTTACCTTCCCTCTGCAGCGGTACCTATTTATCTACTTGTACTGGTGTGCTTTTGAATGGCTAGGTTGGCAGTAGCTGGGACAGAGCAATGGGAGCTAACCCTGTTGCGGGGATTCAGCCACCAGCCTTCTGATCAGCAAGCCCAAGATGCTCAGTGGTTTAGACCACAGCGCCACCTGGGTCCCTCCTTGTACAACCCTCCTCCACCCCATTGCTGCCTCTACCCCATAGGTATTATTAGGGAACGGTCTGGGGGGCTTGGGTCTTTTGCACTAGGCCCTGGATCTCCTGCCCCTTCCATCCCCTGGATGTGCTGCAAAGTGCAGTACCACTGAGACCCCAGCCACTCAGTAGAGGCTGGTCTGCTGGGGCTAATGGGGCACTGACCCACCAACCCCCATTGGCCCCCAGCCTGGCCCAACTGCCTGTGGAGTCTGTAGAGTGTGCCACTGGCTGGCAGCTTCCTGCTCCTTAGGGTGCATCTGCATAAGACATTTAAAGCAGCATCAAACCACTTCAATAGTCCTGGCATCTGCCAAAGAATCCTGGGAACTGTTGTTTAAGGATGCAGAGGGTTGCTAGGAGACCCCTATTCCACTCATAGAACTACAATTCCCAGAGTGGTTTAAACAATCAATCCCTCTTCACAGGAAATCATATCTCTTTGAGGTTTCTTAACAATTATTAGCACTTTTTACAAGCTACAGTTCCCAAATTTCTTTGGGAGAAGACATGACTGTTGAAGTGGTAATCATGCGTTAAAGGTATGGTTATCAAAATAGTGGTGCAATTGACTTCCGACAAGCACACAGAGCGTGAACAAGACTGAGTGTATGTGGGAGGGAGGGGCTCATTTAATTTCACTGCACACAGGTGGTGTAGTGACAATAAAGGTTTATTTATTATATTTATTTTATATATATTTTATTTATGGTGCAGATATGGCCTTTGTCTGAGTGTTACCCTCGTAGAATCCAGCAGGGAAGAGGATGGAGACAAAACTAGAATTAGTCCACTCTGCCTCTCATTGGTTCTGCTTCCATCACTGTTGGTTTCTCCCTACCTTCTGTCGCAACAGACTCAGTGGTTACCAGTCATCACTGCAGCCACCCACTATCTTAGTCTGGCCAGAGGCAAATTTACGCCATATGACTACCTGGCAACAACCCATTCACTTGCCTCTCCTTCTGAGCCTGATGTTCCCTCTCCCCAAAGGGAGAGGAGAACCCACTCCTTCTCCAGGCTCCTCCTTCCTTCCTCATTCAAAGAGTGAACAGAAGCAGCAAAACCAGGAAGCCCCAAGAACTACCAGTGGGTCCCAAGTGGGAAATTGACCTTAGCAGGTGCCCTATAATGCCAACTGCCCCCCATGCCAGTCCTGAGCTTATAAATAAAATACCTCTTCTTCCAAAAAAGCCAAAGGACTTTTCGAGGCATAGGCAAACTCAGCCCTCCCTCCAGATGTTTTGAGACTACAATTCCCATCATCCCTGACCACTGGTCCTGTTAGCTAGGGATGATGGGAGTTGTAGTCCCAAAACAGCTGGAGTGCCAAGTTTGCCTATGCCTGGACTTTTCAGACCCATCTGTGCCTTTTTGGTTCCTGGTATAGAAACCAGCCAGTACGGACACTGATGTATATCATGATGTAACACTGTGCATTATGATCTCTGTATTTCTATGAGTTGTCATGCAATGATCTTCCATATGAGGCTTGCAGTTCCTTTGTGCTCAATGATAGGTACAAATGTTGCGTAAGGAAAATATAACTTCCCTTGCATAAATCTGTCACCAGATGAATCTGAGGAGCTGAACAATGAAAGAAAAGGTAGCTTAGAGGATTCCTTGAGCCATGACCTACAGCTGGTTTCTTTTAATCCTTAATGGATGCTCTATTGATGTGGGGGCTCCATGTTTCATTTAAATCTGTATGCTGCTTTGTAATCATAAGGCACAATGTAGAAAGTCTTCTGATAGTGAAATGTCATGCCATTTGCCTCTGAGAATGCAGGTGTTAAGGGTGAGTATATCTATTGTGACCAGTCTCGTGGAATGCAGAGGAAGGAATGGGCACAGCTGCTCAGGTCAAATGTAATTTAAACATACACATATTTCCTCTTTGTTGAGAAAATATGTGTTCTTGGCAGTAGATGTGCAATGGTGGAAGACATTAGACTTCCAAGAACTGGAAGCCCAATTATGCAAACTTTTCTACTTTGACAAAAATTAAACCCTTGCTTGGCCATCATTCCTTTCTATTTAAAGATTATTATTTTAAGCTAGGCACTCCAAGGAAAGGATCCACTGCACTTTTCTGACCTAAGAATAGTCAACCTCTGATCTTTTTTGATTTCATTTGTCTGGGACTTTAAGTGAAATGTATAATCAATCACATCTGGCATACCAGATCTTGGCAATGGAACATCCATAGCAATCAATTACTCTTAAGTGGTTCTACAGAGTAGACCACAAATCTACAATTCTTCAGAATAACTTCTAAGTAGCAAGTATTCATGGAGCTTTAATATTTTAAAATAAAATGCCTTACCTATATACCTCAGTCCTAATCACATTTACTTAAAAGAAAATATGATTCGGCTCAATTATGTTTGCTTCCAAATAGGAATACTTACAGCCCAGTCTGAACTACATTTAGAATTGTGTCTTGATGATTCAGTAGAATTTACATACCGGTAAATGATTATGCTTAAGATTGCAATTATACATTCCTATGCAAGTTTATTCAGAGAAAGTAAGTCCCCACAGTTTATTAGAGTTTGCACCCCAGTAAGCATACATAGGATGGCATGCTAAATGTACCAGGGTAGAGCTATAGGCAGCTAATAAGTGGTGAGCTGGGAGCTTGGAATCAGGAAATTTGCTAGGGGGTCAGATCCAAATTCCCAAGCCAGGAATCAGACTCAAGGAACAAGCCAGGAAATCAGATCTAAATATCCCATAGTAGTTTACCAAAGGTAGGATCACCTTGATATTCAACAAAATCCCATTCCAAACAGAGGGCAGGGCCTAGTGGTTATCTTGGGTACATGTGACCAGTCTAGATCCTGAGAATCATTTATTGTTAGGAAGATGCTTCAAACTGCAGTTGTGTGTCTCATCTGAAGCATCAGCACAAAGAACCGAAAGTTCCTGGTTCTAGCCCCAGAAGTTCCTGGCAATGTGTCAGTTCATATACCCCAAGGCCTACGCATACATTAGGAGCATGTGGGTCCACCTCTGAGCTTGTGGTTCACAGAAACTCACATGGGGGTGCCATTTGTTTGACCCAGTATGACACCATGTGAGGTGGTCCACACATTCACCATGATTCATGTGAGTATATGCCTTTCTTGAGAAATTGCAATTGCACAACTTGCAAGGTCTACATACGCATCTAAATGTAGATGATCTTCTCAGTCTTATTCCCATCCTGTCATGCAATGCTCTTCTGTACCCTTTCTGTGTCATGTAAATAGCTTTGTTATTGGTGGCTGCATCTACCTGGTGATGGTGACTGCTGTCAGGATGACCGTGCTACTCTCTTGTGCTTGCCTGTTGCAACCAGGCATGGTGACGCTCTGGTGCAGCAGTAGTTGCACCTTATCTTAAACTCTTATTTCCCTATAGAGCAGATTGGTCTATGTGTTGCATTTCCCATCACAGATAATACTTAAAGGCTGGTCATGCTTTGCAGCTATTTGACAGGATTCCTACAGAACCAGGTTTTTATGAAAAAAGTACCATGAGGTTCTGATTTCAGAGAGGGGTGCAATTTCCCTGCCTCCAAGCTCCATCTCTGTGGGTCATTGACAAGAAAAGAAAAGAAGAGAAAAGAAAAGAGAAAAATGGCAGGATGTCATTTGACTCTAGTTTCAGATGCAGAACTAAGACCAGCTCTGGATTCCCTGTAAATAAATTGTAGATTGTTATGCTTGTGACTTACTGCCTTAAGATTAACTTTTCTTTCTCTTATCCTGTATATCAAATATATTAACTTTTGGATGGAAGCATTGCTTGAATAACACTTGCAAAACAGAGACAGAGAACAAGTATAGGATTTAAAAAGTATCATTATCTCAAATTGATCATGAAAAATACAGTAGAAGGTTATTTTCTTCAAAGTTTAGCAATGCTAATTGCACTGACTTGAGTTCCAGAAGTCCCCAAAGTAGGGATGAAGAGGATTAGGAAATATAATTGGCTCTAGAAAACTCCCAAAGGCATCTGTACGTTCAGCATGAAAGAATATATTCCACAAAGCTTAACCTGTAAAACATTAGTAAAACAGCCATGTTCCATCTGATGAGTGGTCTGGAAGCATTTGTGGGAAGCATATTCTGTTGATGAACAAGTATTTGATTTTATTTGATCAGCACAAAGGTAAAAGTGACAGGAGAACACAAAACCTTCCAGAATTACACTTATTGTCTCTGAGCCAGCCAACTATACTACTCAAGTGTGTTATTTTGAACTTCATTCATTACAGGTTGTTGTACCTATCAAATAAGTGAATAAAAGTACATAATGTAAATAAAAATATCAGCTGCCTTGGGGTCAACATGAGCAGCACCCCACAGATACTACCGCCATCCATCAAGCAAATGAAGACAGATGAAAGATGGCAAGTTACATTATCCTCTGATGATAAGAGTGGAGTACCAATTTGTAAACAAATGGGAATTCTTTACAAATATGCGGGGTGAAAATAGATTGCCTTGAATTGACAAGACAATAATTCTGGCTGTTTCTGGAAATTCCCATACTGAATAGGAAGAAAAGGGGGGAGTGGGGTGGCTGGTACTTTTTTGGTATTCTTCGAAGATTATGCAAGTGATTGTTGGCAAGGCTCTATTTTTACCATTCTCCCACAATCATCTAAGCAATTGTTTATCCCATGTCTTTTATGGAAATGAGTCATGGGCACACTCTTCCATTGTCTCCCAAGACAGATGGATGCCAACCAACCAACCAACCATGTCACATGGGAGGTTCTTAAGTCCAGGAGTCTTTCCAGGCTCTACCTGGAGATGCTGCAAATTGAACCTGGAACTTTTTACATACAAAACATGTGCTTTACGATTGAATTCATGCATAGCTCATAGGAGCAGTTGAGAGTCCCCCTTTCTGCTCATTCCCATCCTATGATGTGGAACCAGAACCGCCCAGGAAGAAAGGGGACAGAAAACTTTTTCTGCTCAGATTTGAAAGGGAAGTTTTAGGTGAAGAGCAGCGCAAAAGAGGGTATCAGGGAGGCATTTTAATGGATGCTCAGAGTTCCACATTGACTGTCCCAGTTAAGGACAACAAACTGATGGCTTGAGGTGATGACTAAGCAGAGTCTGTAGAACAAAGATGGGAAAGCTGTGGTCCTCCAGATGTTGTTGGACTCCAATCCCCATCATCCCTGACCATTGGCCAGGCTAGCCGGGACTGATGTGCAGTGAAATCCATTCCAACCTTGGGCCATGCTTCTTAGAAGCTGACTCACTTTTTCACAGAAACATACCAGAAGACGGGGCTGGCTAAGTTAATTAGAAATCTGTGTTATCTTTGCATAAGTGGAAGGATGGACATAGTAAGTCCTTCAGTGGAATGGAATTTTCCACTTTTGATTCTTGGTGTGGGTGTTTATGAATGCATGCATACACTGATTCCACTTCACATATACTCAGAGCAACTGGAATAGAGCTGCTTTTATTATGACAGTGACTAGGAAAAGCCGGCAAGCCTGCAGAACTGCAGAGTAAAAAATCAAAACCAAATCTAAATATAGCAACATAGGAAACTGTCTTATACTGAAACAGGCCAATGAGCCATCTAGCACAGTATCGAATTGTTATACTGTCAACAGATTTTAAGGGCTTAGGAGTCATTCCCAGGACCTTTTCCCTCCAACATATATGCTCTACCACTGAACTACTACAGCCCATCCCAAACTATAGATTAGATTCATTGGTGTAATGACAAGGATGCTCAGGTTCTGCAAGAGGTCTTCCCTCCTCACTGCAAAGCAGTATAATGTAGTTCAGTGCCATATTTCAGAACCATATTCAGTAATCAAATTCCTGAAAAATAACCCATAGTTTTCTGCCAATTGGACAGTCTATTTCTGGAATAGTCTCCAATAACTATTTCATATTTATAGAGCCCTAGAATAGCACAGCCTCATTTTATGGAAAATGATTAGGGATTTTTTTTTATTGATTAAGCAGTATATCAACCCTGGCTTATATCCAATGCAGCACTAAGTAACCATCCTTGTCAGTGCAAGGATTTATGTTTGTGCAATGGGACTTCCCTTCTCCTCTCACCGCATGCACCCTAAATCTGTTCTGGGTGTCCTCCCAACCCTTTGGAGCAGATTTGGAGAAGGCATGTGGGTGTACAGTGGCAGGAGATGGCAGGAGTCCCAATGCTCAAGCAGAAACTCTTTTGTTGATGGAATGGTTTCTTAGTGCTGTATTTGATACAAGCCCTTGCTAAACAATCAGGTACAAGCATTCAAATAAACAATGGAGGCACCATGCACGCTGGTCTTTAACTTCATGCCATGAACCAGCAGGATAATGGGGAGGAGGAGGAGGAGGAGGGTCCTGGCGAGGAGTGTAGTCAGGACTGGGACACACTGAGGCAAGCTCGAAATTTGGAAGGAAAGGTTAATGTAGGAAGTACTTATGGAGTAACGGAGGATGACAAGTGCTCAGAAACCAGAGCAGCAGGACCCAGAGCCAGAAGGGCTTCTGTCTACATGAACATGGCAGGCTCTGAGGCGTAGGGAGCAGCAGATGGGATGCTCCAGGAAGCTGAGGCAGGCAAGGGCCCACAGTCCAGTTCCCTAGCTGACCAGGTGGGGATTGTTAGCTGTGGGAGGAGGTGTGTGATTCCTCAGCAGGAGTAGGCTTAGAACAGGTGAGGGTCACATGCCTCATCAAGTCCAGATGCTGCAATCAGCATGCAAAGTATAAACGGGCAGCAGAGCTAAGGTCCTGTGTCTGTTCAGCTGCTCATGTTGATGGACTTTGACTTGGATTATCCTGCACCTCCAAGTGACTGTGCTTTGGGTTTGACCCTGGACTGTATCCTGATGGCTGGACTTTGGACTTGGCTACTTGGGTTGACCCAGAACCTCATTTCTTGGACTTGCTTGTGTGGCTTAACCCTCAGACTTTGAACTGTGGACTTGGCATACTGACTTTCTGCCAGGTAGGCCAAGGGTTTGTGACCCTTCAGTTCTTGATAATCTGCTTGAATGTTATAATGCTGAAAATGAATTGGGGATTTAGGAAAACCTTTTGGACTGACTCCCAAGTCACATGCCTTATGCCAAATCAGACCACTGGTCCATCTAGCTCAGCACTGTGTACACGGCACTGGGAGAGGCTCTTTTGGGATTGAGAGGGGGCTTCCCCAGGGCAGATCTACACCATACATTAAAAGTGCATTCACTCCACTTTTAAAACGTATCACTGTAGTTTCCCCTCACAGACCTGCAGTTCTTTAACAGATTACATTTCCTAGGATTATTTGGGGGAAGTGCTTTACATGTGCATGGGGTGTTGATCACAGAGCTCAGAGATATCGGGGACGAAACCCGGGACCTGCTGCATGCAAAGCACATACAGCCCCTCCCCAAAATTGTATTAAGATTTGAATAGATGCAAGAAAATTGCCCAGATTAAATGTTCACATTACTTAGAAAACTCAGATGGAGTCTTTTCTTCTGCCCAGCTTGGTGTTTCAGTGGTATTCAAGGACTTTTATCTTCATTAACAAGTCAGCCAACAAACTGACAAATATGGGCTTAGACCAGAACTTTATTACAGCCTATTATTACCTTCCTTTCTTCTTACTTAGTTTGTAACTCATACTGAGCAGTAACCAAATTCCTGCCGAGAGGCCTCTTTTATTACCGTAGTTTGGGTTTTGTTTTTTGTTCATGGTCAAAAGAGGGACCCCCATTATTTTGTAGCTTAGTGAGGTAGTTCTCCTCCTGTCAATCAATTCCAAAAGGTTTTTTTGTACAACTCTTGAGAGCCTGCATCTCATGTTTAGATCACTGATTGCTTCCAAGGGCAATTGCCTTTCCATAATAGATCTCACTCTGTCAAACCCTGTAAAAGCTTGCTTGTTTTTTATCTAATACAATTGCCCTGGGATTCTTGAAGTGGCAAATGTAAGGAGGATAAATAAGGCTGAAATTATCTGAATCAACCAACCAAATGACGCAAATGATTTTGTCCCCATTTGGTTACATTGCGGTACTGATGCTGCCCTGACCAAATTTTATAGCCTCATCTATGGGAAGTTGGTCTGGTGAATGATTCAGGATAAGCTACTCATTAGAGTAGTTGCATGAATGATTCATTTAACAAACTGAGCCAGGCAAAGAGGAGGCATTTTAGCAGTGGCTTACTAGATGGAATTTACTTCTTAATATTTTGAGCAACATTTCTTTCACATGAAGAGTCAAGACATGCTAAAGACCCAAGAAAATAGGTTTTTGAAGTTTCAGCAGATAGGATCTGCTTTGCATACTCAAATTGATTTGCCTTCCTCTTCTGGGCCCCTACATCTTGACATCCCAAAGAAAGTTGCTGTGAAGGGAGTGGCAAAAGTAGCAATGGGTTTTGCTGGCAGGCCAATTTAGGAGGTAGCAGTGGAGTCTCGTGCCCCAAATTTCTTTTCAAAGTGGCATTCTGGTAAAACAAATTGCTGACTAAGACTTCAGCACTGGACAGTGGTAAACTGCTTGAGCCATCTCGGCATTTTACAGTGGTACCTCGGGTTAAGTACCGGTACTTAATTCGTTCCGGAGGTCCGTACTTAACCTGAAACTGTTCTTAACCTGAAGAACCATTTTAGCTAATGGGGCCTCCTGCTGCTGCTGCGCCCCCGGAAAACAATTTCTGTTCTCATCCTGAAGCAAAGTTCTTAACCTGAAGCACTATTTCTGGGTTAGCGGAGTCTGTAACCTGAAGCGTATGTAACCTGAGGTACCACTGTATTTTATTTTAATCATTGTGGCTCATGAAAAGAACACTGAAGGGATGTTATGAGCATGAGCTATGAACTGGTCTGCAATTCTCAACTAAAAACCCAAATTCTAAAAGCACAGACCCATTTTTCCCCCATCAGAATTGGAATAAGTTATCCAAATCCACCACATTGATATATACCTTCTTCTTTTGCGAACTTCAGGCTGCTTGCCAATGCAACAGCAAAATTTGAAATAGTGTGCTCAGTTTTCTGTAAGGATTGCAAACTTTCAGAGTTGGTGAATCATGGAAAACTGAACCAGCAGATGGCTGGGTATGTCAGCAGCAGCACTTTACCATGTGCTCATTTTGATTTTGTGTGAATTTAATACTGATCTTGCTGACAATGTTTCCATGAAGCATAAGCGAGCATTGGTGCACAGAGGTTGCACATAGTCTCTACTCACAACTTCTCCAACCATCTCCAAACAGCTATACAATTCTTGATTTATTGCCTCCTCCTCCTCCCTAATCAGTCTGCATGCCCCTACCTACCATTTGGTCACACAATAGTTCTGTGCGTATGTGTCTTCAGAAGTCATATGTATTCATATCTGCCTAACCCACACAGGCATCTCATTGCTAAAGAAGGTTGTCAGAATAGAGCTGTCTAGCTGGGTCTTGGAAACTATGGTCAAGGGTGGGAGTTCCACAGTTTGGAAAGGAGCTGTGGTAGGACTTCTCTTCCCAGGCGCTCTGGGAGGAAACTGATTTTCTAGATGCAGTTCAGTTGGGTTTTAGGCTTGGTTTGGGCACAGAAATTGCTTTGGTCATCCTGTATGATGACCTCTGTTGAGAGAGAGAGAAGGGAAATGTGTCCTTGTTAATTCTCCTCAACCTCTTGGTGGTTTTTGATACCATTGACCAGAGGTAGGCAACCTAAGGCCCGGGGCCCGGATGCGGCCCAATCACCTTCTCAATCCGGCCTGTGGACAGTCCGGGAATCAGCGTGTTTTTACATGAGTAGAATGTCTGCTTTTATTTAAAATGCATCTCTGGGTTATTTGTGGGGCATAGGAATTTGTTCATATTTTTTTTCAAAATAAAATCCAGCCCACCACATGGTCTGAGGGATGGTGAACTGGCCCATGGCTGAAAAAGCTTGCTGACACCTGCCATTGACCATGCTATCCTTCTGGAGTGGCTGTCTGAGTCAGGGTGCATGGCACTACTTTGCAGTGCTTCCAATCCTATTGAGATGGTTGTTTCCAGAGTCCTGGTTGTACCCAGAAATGGAGCAGAAGCCAGTGCAGCTGTTTAAACTCCTGTGAGATAGGACCCCAACATTCAGTCCGGTTGGCAGCCTATCAGTTATGTTTTTGAGGACTAACTGCAGTTTCTGGGAGTTATCAGTTTATTAGCAGTGGGCATGGTGGGGCAGAGGCAGGGCCGTCTTACCCATAGGCGCTAGGGGTGCCAGGCCGAGAGTCCAGGGCCCAAGAGTTGAGTTCGGGGAAGAGCCCGCCCGTCGATTGGAGTGCCGTGGTGGTCTCTTCTGCTGTGGGTGGCTCTGCATCGCGAGTTCAGGGGAGACACTGAGGCCGCCGGCTGGCTCCGCCCTCCTGCATGCCTGCGACTTGGTAACCTGGGGGGGGGGCTCCGGGTGGATCTTTGCACCCTGGCACCGCATATGCTTAAGACAGCCCTGGGCAGAGGTGTGGAGCTGCCCTCCCACCACTGGCTTACCTAGACAGGGCTGGGAAACACCAAAACATTGTTGGAGCCAGTTTGACACCATCACCAGTGTGTTCACACCAGTCTTCCCTGCCTCAACTGAGCCCTGTCCAGGTAAGCTGCAGCAACATTGGGGGTAGGAGGGCAATTCCACAGCTCTGCCTCACCGCAATAGCCGCTACTGATTGCCACCTGGTGAGGTTGCCAAAGGGGAAATAACAGTATAAGCTCGGAAGATGTGCTGGTGAGGCAAAATCGCTCTGAAGAAGCCTGAGGGAAATGGAAACAAACCTGTTAAAAGAAGGAGCAAGTAAATTGCTAAGAAGTACAATGGCTAGGGGCTTCAAAGAAACCATAGACCTGTGGCCCAATATGCAACCTACAGATTTGCAGGGGTTCAAGACACTCAAAGCATTAGGGAAAAAATACTCGGCATAACCATGATTTGAGCCATTAAAAACAGCTTCTTTTGATTAAAGAAAATGGGATGGGGGAGGAGGTATTTAGCCATAAATGAATGTTCATATCTGTATATAAATCAGTAGGCTTCTATCATGTGACTATTCATTAGGCTGTGCTGTACCAGCAGTGAAGCACTACATTAACTAGTTGAACACATTCATTCAGGTAATAACATGGGATTGCACTTCCCAGCATAATTTGTTGTTATGAGCTGCAGCTGTATCTTATCCTTTCCTTGCTATTTTTACCCATTGTTCCAATGTAATTGTCCACAAAACTTTAACCCATCTGCTTGTTCCCTCTGCTGTAAGACATCAATTCTGCTTAGCCTCCTGGGCACATCTATCTATTTCTGTCCCTATCCTCTCAAGATAAAGATAAATACATCATATAATGCCTCACACACACACTGCAGCTGTCTCTTGATTGTGAAGGTTTCTGAACATGTGCTTCTGCTGTTCAGACTGCTCTAATATGATTTGGAAGCAGTTCCACAGAGGAAATACATCTTCTGTTTCAGTAACGGTGTATTATGTGCCCATACATTTTGCAAACATACCTAAGAAGAAAAATAAGTAACTCTCTCTTGGAACACACACTGTGACCTAATCATTTTGTGCAAAGTTGCTGTTGGGTTATGCTGTCCTGATGCTTGAGAAGTCTTTTTGTTTTATTTGCCTGACTTGTAGCCCTTTGTAATTGACTCATTGCTTCCCAGTAAGCAACTAGATTCCAGTACAGAGCAGTGATACGTAGATTTGATGGACATTTTTTATATAACCAGGGGGTGTTACGATTTCCAGGTACCATTTTTAGTCATGGGGTGCAACTGATTTTCTTTGGTTTGATATCTTGAGCATGATACTCGCAACCTCCCTTGGGTAGTAGAGATATGAGATGGAGAAATCAACAACAGCTGGCTCCTTAGTGAGGTGGACTGGCCCATTTAAAGCTTCACCATAAACCATAATCAAGATTTCCCTTCAAGTAATGTCACAAAAGGTCATTCACTTGTGGTGTGTTACTTTAAGCACAGATGGGACTCAAATATACACCTGGGTGTATAGTGGAAAGCTCCACACATACCAAGAAGGACAGGCTTTTGTTATGGTGGTAAGTGCTTACCACAGACACCTGATTTTAAGTTGCTCAAGGAGCTGGAATTAACTCACTGACAGTTCACATATAGTACAGTTTCTTAAACATGATACACCTCTTCCCTACCAATAGCCATGCTCAAGATGATGATGATGGAAAATTCTATGTCACTTCTTCCAGGGATCAGAGGGAAGTTTACAATATATAAACACAAAAATATAGAACATGGTAACAAACAAAAACGACACCACCACCCCTGAGTTTAAAGTGTCAGATTGTTTAATTATCCAAAGGCCTGGGAGAAAAGGAATGTTTTTGCCTGGACCCTAAACATATGCAATGAAGGTGCCAAGATGAAAACAATCCATGCACATGTTCAGGTTCAAAGTAGTCCAGGCAGTAATGGATGGTGTGATGGGTCTCCAGCCTCACCTGACCTCCACTTGGTCATACTGCTGCTGCTGCTTACTGGAAAACAAAGGGTACGGGGCAAGGCAGTCATAAGGTTGGCATGGCTCAAATACACCAACCATGCCAAGCCAGTGCTGTGTGTTTGCATCACACTAACATCACTGCTTCCCACCTCACCCTCTGACTTCTGCTATAACAGAATGTTCTGCTCTCCTGTGTGCCTCCAAAAAACTCAGTTCAGAGGGATTGGGAGAACCCCCAGAAAAGCACATGGATGGGGGGGATTATTCCACCTGATATTCTGCTTGAGCCATTGCCCACAGCACTATTTTGAATGCCTCCCAACTCTCTAAAATAAAATACTACCTCTTCGTATAGTTCTAAAACTACATGGAGGGAGAGAGGGAGATTTCATGAAGCCAGGAAGATGGCAAAGGAAATTAACGGGATGGAACAGGATTCTGTCTGATGGGATAAAGGAAAGTGGAAACTTCAGGCGGCATTAAGCCAGGGACCACACAAAATGAGGCTGGGCTGCATATGTTTTTCCATGTGACAGGTTACCCACCTTGGATGTAGTGTTTCGCTGCTGCTACCAAATAATGTTACATCTTTATCAGTTGCTAACTGTAGTAGATGCTAATTGTAGTTTTCACCTGATCCCTTGAGAGCCAAGTCACTGCTGCTTACCAGGAAGAAAAGGGTGAGGGGGTCAGCATGGTGCAAATGGTAGATAGGCTCTGCTGGTACTTTTGCACTGCACCAAGCTGACACCTTGTCCCTTCTCTTCCCAGTAAGCAGCAGTGACTCAACTGTCAGGAGATTAGCCATTCACTACCAGTTATTGACACACACCATTTGCAGCTGATAAAGATAGTGACAAAGCAATCCTGTCATGTGGATTTAGTGGTGTCCAGTTTGCAAGAATGTTGCCAAAATTACTCCTGGTTATTATGCCATTCTTTAACCACCTCTTCTGAAAAAGTGACTCAGGCGATAAGACTTCCTTAATCTTTGTCGCTGCTTCTCCTTTGTCTTCCTAGTTCAAGCACTTGAAGCCTGTAAAGAGAGAAGGATGTTTCTGTCAGGCAACATCTGATTTGTCAAGATCATTTTAACACACACATTCAAATGTTCACTCTCTCATACATCCAGAGTTGCATGTTTGGTATTTATCTTCCATATAATCTCTGGCACTTATGAAGCACTGGTGTGTTAGATTGTGTCTTGTCATCAAAGGCTTCCCATTCATTTCAGTGACAAGATGCATCTGAAATCGGTGACAAATCGGGAGAGTATTGGGGGGGGGAGCTATTAAACTGCTGGAGACTGAATGTGACGCTTTCCTTTAAATGAATTCTTTAAAAGAAACGCAACCAAGCCTTGTCTCCCCCTGCCCATCATATTTTGAAGTTTGTCACTAAAGCATTATGAACAGTGGCAGAGCCATGGGCTCAACTCCCACTTCATTCAGGTCATAGGTTGCCTACACACCAATCCATTTGTACGCAGCTCACTAGATAGTTTGGGGCAAGTGACTGCCTTGAGCAAATAGTGCCTGTTGAATTTGTTTGTCATGAAGCTATTGAAGGCAAAAGTACCACCCAGCCTCCCTCCCTCCTTCTACTGCAGTACCACAGCAGTAAATATACTGCAATGTACACTTTGGGGCTTTTATGATGCATAGATTGATGCATGAAACAATTAACTAAGAGAGAATGGAATTTTACATCCCCCTCTCCCCCCCCCGTCTTCATCATCATAATAGTGCTCCATATGATTATAGCAAGAATCCTTTCAAAAGGAATCCTTCGCTGGCATAGGTGGCTTGGTTGAAATTAATGGAACTGTATAGGTTTACAGTCCTTGAGCATCTCACCTCTCAATTGCCAATATTCTTTACCAATCAATGCTTGCCTGGAGCATCAATCAAGTTATGAGAGCAAACATTTCCAAAATTAAATGGGAAATAGTGGGGACTGATGGGTTTGCTGTCTGTCCTCCTTAGTCTGTTACAGGCAGAAATAAAACAACTGCAGTTTCCCACCTTGTCCATACTTGCGAAAGCTACACTTGTTAAATGTGTGCCTATCATGCATCGCTTAAAGTTTATGCCAGGAAAAAATTGGCAACCATATCTCTGAGATCGTCCTTTAAAATACACAGTGCTCCTTACCAAGCATACAAATACATGCTGTAGGTCAGATCAGCATATTTCCAATCATATCTGGCGACGCATTTAAAGGTTAAAAAGCCAATAGAAGTATTCCTAAGAAATGCAATTGGGCCCTGGAGGGAGATGTGTTCATCAGGAATGTTTCTGACCACCATCCCTGCCCAGGAGGTTCAGCTTTCGTTTTTAAAATTAAAGGAGGTATGCAGCTAAGTCACACTCAGGAATAGAACTGTTGATGTCAGTGGTCTTAAACAATGACTAACAAGCCTCAGTCAGTAAAGCTGTATACACACCATACATTTGAAGTACATTTCCCCACCCCAAGAATCCTGGGAACTGTAGCTTGTTAAATGTGCTGGGAATTATAGCTCTGCTGGGAAGCTACCGTCCACAGGATCCTTTGGGGAGTGCTTTAAATATATGGTATGTATGTAGCCCAACTATGGCTTAGTTGGTTACTATGCTATGGTTAGAGACATAAGAGGAAACATACAGGGAGCATTAAATCCAATTTCTCTATATGAAGCGGTACAATTAAGTAGTTTTGAACATATTAGGTTACCCATATTTTGTCAGTATCGCCCTTGAGCCAGTGCCACCAACTGGACTCATCCACTTCAGCCCCGACTGGGCTAGGCGAGCTGGGTAGCACTTCCAGAGACCACCTTCTGCACAGGAACAGGTCAAAGTGCTGTGGACTCACAGCTTAGAGTTGTGAGCACCGGAATTCACTCCCACAAGAAGACAGTCGTCGCACAGCAGAGTACAGCAGAGTCTAGCAGAGTAGATGATGGACTCAAGGGCATCCTGATCAAATTTGCAGATGACACCAAACTGGGAGGGGTGGCTAACACCCCAGAGGACAGGATGACACTTCAAAACGACCTTGACAGATTAGAGAACTGGGCCAAAACAAACAAGATGAATTTTAACAGAAATACCGTGTGCACCAGGCAAAAAATGAAGCTTCAAATCACAAGATGGGACACCTGGCTTGGAGCAGTACATGTGAAAAGGGTCTAGGTCTTGGTTGACCTAAACTGACAGCTAGGCCAACAGTGTGTGTGGCAGCTAAAAAGCCAATGCAATTCTGGGCTGCATCAATAGGAGTATAGCATCTAGATCAAAGGGAAGTAATAGTGCCACTGTGTTCTGCTCTGGTCAGACCTCACCTGGAGTACTGTGTCCAGTTCTGGGCACCTGGTTCAAGAAGGACACTGACCAAGCTGGGCGTGTCCAGAGGAGGGGCCTTACAAAATGGTCAAAGGCCTGCAGACGATGCCTTATGAGGGCGGCTAAAGGGAGCTGGGCATGTTTAGCCTGGAAGAGGAGGGTTGGGGGTGATGTTAGCCATGTTCAAATATATAAAGGATGTCACATAGAGGAGGGAGAAGGTTGTTTCTGCTCCAGAGAAAGCGGACATGGAGCAATGGATCCAAACTACAAGAAAGAAGATTCCACCTAAACACAGGAAGAACTTCTGACAGTAGAGCTGTTCGACAGTGGAATTTGCTGCCAAGAGGGTGTGGTGGAGTCTCCTTCTTTAGGTCTTTAAGCAGAGGCTCCCGGCAACCATATGTCAGAATTATCTGATGGTGTTTTCCTGCTTGGCAGGGTTGGACTCTGAGTGGCGCCTTGGTGCCCAGCTCTATGATTCTATGATTCTATGATTCTATGATATAAACAACTCGGAGAGCAGCTCTGTAGAATATCTTCTTTTATTCTATCTACAACTATTATACAACTATATACAGAGCTAAATAGGTCTAAGCATAAATGAATGCTACACTGCACTGAGTGTCTGCAGCTGCTCTTAGCAGCAACCTTATCTCTACACACGATCTCTAACACTCAGTCTCTCTCTCTCTCTCTCTCTCTCTCTCTCTCTCTCTCTCCCCGACACTGACTGACTGACTGACTGAGTGCTGGAGCAGAATAAGTAGAGAGCAGAACACGCCTCCTCCTCTCTGGAGAATCAGCAGACTCCTCAGGAGATTCTTGGATATGGGAGGGATGAAATCTCCTCATATTTATGTTGTGTGTTTTGCAATGATTTCCCAACCCCTGAGATCTTCCCCTCACCACAACACTTTTGGCTATGGGCCTGGAAATGAGCTAGTCTCTCCCCCCCCCCCGCCCCAATCAGATAAGTAACACTGACAATAAAATGAAAGGAATCTGTTGGTCTAAGCTGGCATTGCTTAACCTGATCACTGTTGGCTCCACTTTCCCTCTGAATGTGAGTCAGGGCTCACCAGAACCTGGCTCAAATTAATTGTGGTTACTTAGTCTTTTAGGTGGGAGGCGGGTGGTGCTGTGGGTTAAACCACAGAGCCTAGGGCTTGTTGATCAGAAGGTCAGCGGTTCAAATCCCCACAACGGTGTGAGCTCCCGTTGCTCGGTCCCTGCTCCTGCCAACCTAGCAGTTCGAAAGCATGTCAAAGTGCAAGTAGATAAATAGGTACCGCTCTGGTGGGAAGGTAAACGGCGTTTCCATGAGCTGCTCTGGTTTCGCCAGAAGCAGCTTAGTCATGCTGGCCACATGACCTGGAAGCTGTACGCCGGCTCCCTCGGCCAGTAAAGCTAGATGAGCACCACAATCCTAGAGTCGTCCGTGACTGGACCTAATGGTGAGGGGTCCCTTTACCTTTACCTAGTCTTTTAGGCAAAGGACCACAGCTCGGTGGGAGAGGTTTCCATGCAGAAAGCCCCAGGTTCAATCCCTGGCATTACCAGGTAGGGCTGGGAGTGGCTCTTTGCCTGAAACCCTGGAGAGGCACTGCCAGCCAGTGCAGACAGTACTAAGCTAGCTAGACCAGCAGTCTCACTTGGTAGAAGGCAGCTTCCTATGTTCCTGTTTTCAATGTCATAGCAGAGTCGTGAAACAGGCAGCTTGTAAGATGGGGACTTGACTCGGAAAGAATTCCAATCTAGTTTCAGGATTTAAACAAGGAAACACATTGACCAACATCACCCATGGCAACCTCATAGACATGAGTTGCATTACCTATCCTTTCTCCCTCCACCAGCAATGATTTGATTTCATCATTTCCTGAGGCATCTGTGAACCGTATGTAACAGAGGAGGGAGTGGATTCGCACCCACTGACCACCCGCAACAACTAGGTGTTGACCCAAATCATATATATTTGTTGAATGTATTCAGGCCTTCATATCAGCACATGAATATCAGAAACAGAAAAAGTGGGTGCAGCCCAACTACATTGATCATCCACAATTCTAAATTGTCTGAGTAGGGCTTAACAAGTTTCATTTCGGGATAGTTTCAGATGGACATTTATGCTACCAAGCTCTGTAAAGTTGCACTGTGTTTGTGTGTGTAACACAGTACCTGCTCCTCCTCACCACACATCTAAATGTTCAGAAGAATGTTTTCAGTAGTCTCTGGCAGGACAACAAGTTTCTAATAATTTCTGGCAATATATTTAAAGGTAACAGTCCACTGAAATACAGCCAGCTTTTTACAGCTGTGTTACTTGTAATGATAAAAGCACACCCTTTGGATGAGTAATTGAATACATGCTGGGCTACCATGCATACAACAAATATGGACTTTGGCACAGTAAACATCAAAGCTTCACTGAGCTTATGGGGCTAGGTATATTGGGCTATTAGTTCTCCAAATAGCCTTCACCACTCATTTTCAAAAAATTGAGCTTAAGGAGGACAATAGAAAGGGCATACAGGTGGGAGGTAAAATGTGAAAAATACTAAATAAAAGCACATACGCACAAGTGCTTCCATTATTGTAATTGTTGCCATCTTTATTACACTGCACCATTAATGTAAGTTATAATGTAAAATTCAGCACACAGAACTGGGAAACAAGAGGCAGGGATAAACAGGGAGAGTATGTAATTGCTTCGGTTACATATAGTCATGCTTACATACAGCAGCACATGGGAATTAGTGTATGTGCCTAATGCTTTGGTGCCAAGCAGGAAACACAAGTTCCTTCCCCTAACCAGCAGATGACGTCAGACATTATTTCTGGGCTACTGAAGACTTAACTGCTGCTCCTTCACTGTTTCTACAGCTGCTTCCATCTTCAGTGGAACAGACTGGTGCAGGGTGGTTTAGGGGTAGCAGTTACATGAATGCACACACCTGCACATTTGTGCTTCTTTTTCACTGGCCATGCAGGTGATTCCGAAGGAAGTTGTAAGTGCTGTTAATGTGGGGCAGAGAGCAGAAGAGATTCACACTGACAGGTTGAATGACTGACAAAAGAAATGTAACATCTGGTTTAGTGTTCCTTATGGAAATAGCCGACCCCTCAAAGATGACAGTCATTTATTTCCCTCATGTGTGAGTAGAAAACATAAATTGGCTACAAAGTAACATTTTCTGTTCTGCATTACCAACCCTCAGCAAACAAATCACAAAATGGGTCCCCACACGTGTGGCTTGAACTCTGCTGTGAAATTGGTCAGATAGCAGTAATGAGACTCAAACACATTTCATCTCATGTGTGAAAAAATGCCTAAAGTTTACCAGAGTGTATATTGTCTTCCAGTCCATCACGCCTCTGTGGATGCAGTAAAATACAGAAATGGCAATTCAATATGTTTTTCTTTAATTTTCATTCAATTTTTTTCGTTCACCAACATGGTTCATTTCAAACCATGACGTCTTCTCAGAGGAGAGAAAGGGGTTAACTGGCTTTTGTGAATGGCGGCCAGTGGTGATCGAGGAGGGGGCGAGAGAAGCACACCCACTCCCCAATACTGTATCAACATCTCGACATGGAGGCAGAGTTTTGGCCGAACAAGACAAAACACTGAGGGCGAGTCGGCAAACAAAAGAGCCCAATGCGACCACGGATCCGTCGGAGATGAATGGGCAAAGCGGTGCGTTGGGCACCCAACCAACCGGGGCGCTTTCCTGTGTCTGCACATCGGGAACCCATTCATCTCCCCGGTCCCAGCGGAGAGTCGGAAGCCCAGGGAACAAAGCCGCCGTCTCCCTCCGAGGACTCTTCCCGCGGAAAAAACGTGACATCATCGCGCACAGGACAATTCACCCCAATGCCAGGCAGGGAGTCCGAGTTTCGCCTTATAAAAGAGAGCGGCGTCCATTGAGGGATGGGTTGCTGGACTGGCTTCCGACGGGCAGCCCTGGCTCCATGAGTGTCCTGTTCGCGGCCAATGCGCCCCCCCCCCCCCGGGCCGGATTTAAGAGAATAAATCTGACGTCACCCGGTCCGAACATTCTCTTCTCTATTATGACGCGCCCGCTCCTTCCCTCGCAGCCCCGCCTCCCTTCCTCCCCGCCGTCTGATCTCCCCCGCCGGCTAACAGCCCTTCGATCAGCCGCCTCCTTTTCTCGCCGATCTGCTTTGCCTCCTGCTCCGCTGCGCAGCCCAGCCCCAGGGCTGTCCTCATCCAACCTTTCCTCCCTTCCGTGCCGCCCATTCAAACCAGCCCTCCAGGCTCTTATCTCCTACACCCCAGATTTGTCCCTTGCCGCCCACGCCTCTCACGAATCTACCCGGGAGGGCGGGGTGGGGGTGGGCTCCCCGACGTCCCATTGGCTTCCTCCCTCGCCCTTACGCATCCCCTCAAACTCTCAGGCGGCCCAGCACTCCCCCTCCCCTCCCGTCGGCGAAGCTTCCCTCCTCCCCTGCTCCTCCTCGGCTTTTGCAATACGTCATCCTTTTGCTCAGCCGCCCTCCCCCCCCCCGCCCGCTCCCTTCTGCCGCCCAGTTCCTTCTCCTCCTCCCACCGCATCGCTAGGATGCTTTTTGGGCAAAGTGAATGGAACCCCCCGCGAAACTCAGGGCAAAGGGCTAGGTGAGGGCAGCGGCTTCACGGAGGCTTCACTTCCTCGCTGGGCATGCGCACAGGCTTGGCACATGCTCATTCCGGCCGCACGAGGGGCTCTGGGCATGTGCAGAAGCGAAATGGGTACATTCTGAAGCAGGGCAGTTTCAGCTATGACACCTGCAGCATGTGCCAGGAGCTGCAGCAGCAGCAGCAACAGCAGCAGCAGCCTGTGCGCGGTGCATCTTTCTCTCTCCAGAGCGGTAAGCGGCAGCAGCAAGCAGTTCCGTCTCTGTGCGCCCCTCCTGCTTTGCACTGGGTTTCAGTGGGTGCATGGTGACCTTACAGAGTGTGCATTACCTCACAGGTAAATATCAGCTGATCCTCTGTGACAGCAGCAACAGCAAGAGCAGCAGGAGCAGGAGAAGCCAGCAACCCACAGAGCTTTTCTGGAGGTAGCAATTCATTCATTCCTTCACTCATCTGGTCCCTTATCTTATCCCTCCCCCTCGCCCCGCTTTTTATCCCTTTACTCCATTCACCAGTCAAAGGCTTTGCTAAGGATGCTGGAGTCTCCATTATGGATGGCTCTTTGCACCGCAAAGAGTGGGTAACTGGGGGAGGGGGGGAGATGAATATTTCTCATCAAAAATCAGCAGCAAGCTTGGCAATGCACTGCAGTGTCAGTTCAAATGGCTTAGGAGGAATAACTTGGGGAGTGGGTAAGGGAGGGTGAGTCAGCCTGTTGCCAATTTGGAGATGTCTAGCTTTATCTCCTGGAGTGTGTGTGTGTGTGTGTGAGAGAGAGAGAGAGAGAGAGAGAGAGAGATGGAGAGAAGCTGAGAACTAGCTGCATTAGATGCCTGGTTGTTGATTCCTCTTTCCTATGTTGTATGAGAGAGCTAAGCGAGAGTTTGTCCTCTGCCAAAGAAAAATAGTGGGGTCAAACCCTTTAGGGGTAAATGAAAAAGGAGAGATTGGAGTGTTGATAACTTGGAATGAGAAGGTCTGGCTACGCTTTTTGACAACATCAGGGGACCTTGTTGGCATCATGCATTTCATTCCAAGCCTTGCCAAGATACGCGTTGGATGTACAGAGAGGGGGGGTCTGTGTGTGCGGTGAGGAACTCAGGCAGTTTATATGTACAGGCCTATGATGACATCATCTCTTTGACTTTTGCTACACTTCAGTCTTTTGGAGGCTGGCTCTTTTCTTATTATTTGCGAGCCTATAGGAACAGTTCAGACGGTATTCCTGACTAAGGTTTTATACCTACGGTGTGTTCCATTTTATGAGTTTGATACAATTATATTGCACTCCAGCTCAGACTTATATAAACCCAGTGTGTGCAGTCATGAGCCTGTGAATTGTAACATTG